GACAAATGTCACCTCTTCTTATAAAAGTGGATAATAATCAAAAATTCAAGATAGAAGAAGTCATAGATTTAAGGTGGTATCAAAATAGATTAGAATATCTTGTTCATTGGTATAGATATGATATTAAGGATTGTACATGGGAGCTAAAAAAGAATCTTACAAATGCAATAAAAAAAGTTTGAAGCTTTTTATTGACAACATCTATTAAAATTAAGATAAAAAATAGCAAAGTTTTGCTCTAAAAGAAACAAGATTTAGAAAAGATACCATTCAATCTTCTACTCTTATTTATAGCTTTTTTGTATTTATATTGCTAATATCAAGGATATAAATTGGAAGAAGATGCATAAATTCGTGAAATTTGTATCAAAAAAAAAGTGAAAAAAAAAAAAAAAAAAAATATGTATATTCAAAGAAGAACTGGAATGGCTATTGCCAAAGATTAGAAAACATAAGATTCTTAAAACTAGACTAAAAGCAAGAAAGAAGTTGACAAAAATGAGGAAGGCCTCTTTCTTACGTCTATATATACTACTTAAATAAGAAATACATGGCGACATGCTATAGGACCTCTAATACACATCCAACTTGCAAACACATATCTAATTTGCAAAACAAGTTTCATAGGTGTGCGACATATGTCTAACTTGTACTATAAGTGATCAACGTGTCGACACATGGCGTCCTTGTTGGCCAAGTTTTCAATCTACTAATCACCTATAAACATGTATAAAGATAAAGCAACATTTATGAAGCTTCTAAAAAGCTTTCTATAAGAAAATATCATATTTATCTATTTTTATTTACTTCTACCTATTCTTATTATTTAGATAATTATTAAGATAATTATGTATATTTATGATAACTAATGAGATAGAGAACTAATAACCAACACATTCAACTCAAAAGCTATGACTTGTTGACTTATCAAATGAGACATTGCAATTGTCACAAACTTCAAGACAACATAATCAAGATGAAGATCCTTAAGAATTAAATTTCCTTCTTCAAATTGATGGCGAGATACAATGTATTTGGTATCACAATCTTAAAAGAGTCTCTTGATGTTTGATGATTTTATTAAAAGTAGGAACGTCTCTTAATAGTATTTTGAATATTTTATTTTTAAAAAATTACAAAAGCTTCAACAATAATCAAATAATAAGGTAGTCTTCTTACCTTGATATGAGACACTATCAATGGCTAAAAAGACCTATCAATCATCTTCAAAAACTACAAAGATCAAAGTATGTGACAAACATAATTTACTCTATCTTGAATTTTTTCAAAATATAATGACTGCTCTTCATAGAATTCATTCTTGGAAGGAAAAGATCATATCATGGACATACATATTTATTCTAATATTTATCTATATAATTAAGTAGAAGTAAATAAAAATAAATTTATTTCATAATATATTTTAGAAAAGCTCATTAAAAGCTGCATAGATAGTGCCTTGATTTTATATGTATTTGGAGTTGATTGATAGATTAGAAATTTGGTGAATAAGTTAACCATGTATTAATACCTCATGAAACAAGCTAATTGTATGGCACATATATAGAAAACTTATCTTGTCAATTAAGATATGTATCTTGCAAAGTCAATATATTTTAGAGGTCCTATAGGACATTTCTATGCAGCTCCTAGTTAAGAATATATATGGAGGCAAGAGTGAATCCTTCTTCACTCTTATTAATGTCTTTGTAGTCCTTAGTCTTATTTTAAGATTTTTTAGTCTTCTTATCTTTTGCAATACTTATTCTAGTTTAATATAATAACATCTTAGAATGATTTTTCTGGATTTTTTGAGTGACACAAGAGTGTATTGACATTTTAGTTCTTTGAGGTTCATGTCCTTGATAATGAATGCTATGAAGTTGAAGAAGGAAGCAATTTTATTTTTTAAGCAAAGTGAGTCATCACAAAATGAGGATAAAGCATTGTATTCTTATATTGTTACAATTGCAAAGACCAAGATGCAACTATTCACTTGCACAATTTGATATGTTGCTTGAAAAGTATTATTTCATATAACAACAAATATCATCGATAAAACATACAAAGTTTTTTTTACTTTATTGTTGCATTTTTGTATTTACAACAATGTGGGTAATTTTTTTAAGGTAATTTTTGTTGTCAATTTTTAATGATTATTCAAATTATTACAAAATACGTGAGTATTCTCATTGGTGCTCTACTATGCAGCCTTCTTAAGCATATCATATCTTAATGTGGACTTTTGAATATATGTGGAGTAGAATGCATCATCGTCAACTTACATAGATGATTATTATTGATTTTTGAGTGATACATAAGTAAAGTCATATTCAATATGGTTGCTAAATTTCTTGATGTACTATATCTTAATTAGAGAGTGCACCTTCTTGACGTATCAATTGATGGAACTCAAAATATGATCTACCATATTTCTAGCATCTTGATCAAGCTTTAGGAAGTTCTTTAAGATAATTGCAAACTAATTTTTATGTAATGTGGAGCACATTAGTTCCATCTAATTATAAAGCATATCATGAACATGGTAGTGAAAGGGCGTTATTTCTTTATGATGATGGGCTTCATTTTGCACCTGAAGCAATAGGAGAATCTTATTCCAAAATAGATATAACTTGCCTTTGTGTCGTAAACCATCGGCTTTCTACTAATAAGATTGCCATCTAGCTTAAGAAGTATCAATCCAAGCTTATTGCTTATATTTGGATGAAAGATCTTAAATATATTCTATCTTGGCTTTGGTGGATTTATTTACTTGCAATGGACATCTTCATGAGGCACAATATCAAGATATTTTGTAAGATTCAAGGTTTAATGTGTCTAATCTTCCTATATGAATCAAATCTTAAGACTCTTGTTCCCACCTTTATTAAAGACCTCAGAGCAATTCACTCATTCACTAACAAAATGATCTTGAGCTTCAATATAATAATAAATATCATAAGAAGTTGTTATATTATCTCTTTTTTAAATAAGTATAAATTTCTTTTTAGCCTTGCATCTTGAATTGAAGACATTTTCAATAATGACAAAAAATTTGAGCATAACCATCTGGTTTAAGACATTGGCTTCATCTTCATTGTAACAAGTGATTGCATTAAAGATATATTTGTATAATATAATATAGTCAAAAATTCACATATAGATCCACATTTGCTATTGCCTATTTTATTACATGAGCTCATTTTGAATTTTGTAGCCAACTTCATTTGCTAGGCTTGTTTGTAGAATTTTTGATTATAATACTATTACTTTGCAATGCATATTGACTTGATTATCAACAAGCATAAAGCTCTTTTTTGTACCTATTACAATGAATCTACTCTACAAGCAAGCATTAATATTCACAACAAAAAGATATCATTCAATAATACTTGGAGCTTGTTTAATGTATATTTCTCAAACTTATTTAAATTTGGTGGTCGCATTGCAACTCTTTTTTTTAGCACATGTACTGTGGAATTTAACTTCTCTATCTTGAGGTAGGCAAAATATGATTATTGTAAGGTTCTATTAGAATTTAGACTTGAAGGCATGTTGCAAGCAAAGTAGTACATCCAAATCAAGACACTTGTTGATTTTGAATGATTGTTCAAAGTGACCTATATTGCTTTGAATAAACTTGGTCAATTTATTGGTATTAAATCTTATCTAAATTTACCTATTGTATATATTTATTTTCAAGAGGTACCTAAATTAAGCTATTTTAGGTAATTTAATTTAGGATCTATTATAATCATAGACATGATGATGAGAAAAGGAGTGTCAAGGGAGTAGTGGTAGAGATAGACAAATAAATAGATACATAAATAGAGATAAGAAGAAGAAGAGTTTCTTAGTGTCCCTTCTTTCCTGCAGGTGGGGTAGGTTTGGATGGTTGATATAGAGAAAGACGAGGACAAGGAATATTCTTCTTTCTACCTCCTCCTTTTCATTGTTTGTCCACATCTATCCTTGTTCATTTGTTTGTTTGCTCGTTCGTCTGTTCAATTATTCTATCTAGTATTCATTACTATGAAAGAATGTTCCACCTTCGTCTTGTTATTGGATTAGATTAGATTGCTTTGCTTTACTTTGCATTGCATTGCGATTAGATTGATTGGTTTGTCCTATGGACATCAGGAGATTCTTTGCAAAGAAATGCGGAAGGCAGGGAGGAAAGAAAAAAAGAAGGGATGAAGGAAAGAAGAAAAGAAAAGAAAAAAAAGAAAAAAAGGAAGGAAAGGAAAATAAGGAAAGGAAAGGAAGGAAATGAAATGAAGAAAGGAAAAGAAAGGAAAAGAAAGAAGAAAGGAAAAAAAAAGGAAAAGAAAGAAGAAAAGAAAAGAAAGGAAGGAAAGAAGGAAGAAAAGGAAAGAAAGGAAAGAAGGAAAGAAAGAACAAAAAAAAGAAAAGAAATGGAGGAAGGAAAGAAAGAACGAAAAAAATGAAGGGAAGAAGGAAAGAAAGGGAGGAAAGAAGAGAAGGAAGAGAGAAAAGAAGAAAAAGAAGGGAGGAAAGAAGAGAAGGAAGGGAGGAAGGAAGGAAGAAAAGGAAGTGAAGAAATAGGAGAAGGAAGAGAAGAATGGAAGGGAAGGGAGGAAGGAAAGGAAAGGAAAGAAAGGAAGGAAAGAAGGAAAAGAAAGGAAGGAAGGGAAAGAAAGGAAGGAAGGGAACGAAGAAAGGGGAGACAGAAAAGAAAGGAAGGAAACGAA